CGAACAACACTACTAACTTGAACTAAAATCCATAAATCTATAACATCCTATGATTATCAAAATACAGTCTTTTTCCCCCAAATGCACATGGAATAAGTCTCTAAAACAGATCACTATTTTGCCATGGGTGGCAAACCTTTTTCTGCCCACTAAATCCAGCAAGATATAAGAAGGATTAAATTCCATGACCAAGTGGGATGCAAATATTTTAGGTTTTAGGAAAGAAAAAGAATATCTTTGTCACATATTCTTCTTTAACAACTTTTAAAAAAAATACTTTTTAATGTTTATTTATTTTTGAGAGAGAGACAGACAGAGTGCAAGCCGGAGAGGGGCAGAGGGAGAGGGAGACACAGAATCCTTAGCATGCTCCAGGTTCTGAGCTGTCAGCACAGAGCAGAGCTCAACGCAGGGCTCGAACTCAGGAACTGTTAGATTATGACCTGAGCCGAAGTCAGACACTTAACCGAATGAGCCACCCAGGTGCCCCAACAACTCTTTAATAATCTAAGAAACATTCTCAGGTCACAAGCTGTACAAAAACATGCATAAAAAAATTCTAGTAACTTTCAAAAGAACTGAAATCATACAAGGTAGGTTCAATGCCTTATATTCCTGCAATGGAATTAAATTAGGAATCAACAGAAAATACTAAAGAAATCCTAGAATATACGGAAACTGATGAACATGTTGCTAAATAAATGAAGGATCAAAGTAAGAAATCAGGGGCGCCTGGGTGGCTTAGTCGGTTAAGCGTACGACTTTCGCTTGGGTCATGATCTCGCGGTTCGTGGGTTCGAGCCCCGCATCAGGCTCTGTGCTGACTGCCAGCTCAGAGCCTGGAGCCTGTTTCAGTCTGTGACTCCCTCTCTCTCTGACCCTCCCCTGCTCACGCTGTCTCTCTCTCTCTCTCTCCTAGAAATAAATAAAAAATATTAAAAAAAAAAAAAGAAATCAAAAGAGAATTTTAAGAATATTGTGAACTGAATAAATATGAAAACAAAACATATCAGAAGTTATGGGTTTGAACTCCTATGCTATAAAAGAAACAACTCAAACCAATAACCTAAAAGTTCACCTTAAGAAACTATAAAAAGAGAAGGAAACTAAGCCTAGAGTAAGCAGAAGAAAAAAAAAAGATTGGACAAGAAACCCATAAAAAAGAAAAAAAAACTGGTTCTTTTAAAATATTAACAAAATTAACAACCCTTTAGCTAAACCAACCAAGAAAAAAACAACAAGACCTAACTTACCAAAATCAGGAATGAAGACATTACCACTAACCCCCACAGAAATCAGAAATACAAAAAACTATACCCTGAAAAACTTTGTGTCAACAATTAGACAATCCAGACAATGTGGACAAACTCTTAACAAGACATAAATTACCAAAACTGACTCAAAAAAAAAAACCAAAAAAAACCCAAAGACTCTGAATAGAATGACAGAATCAAGGAAACTGAACAGGAATTAAATTTCCCCACAAAGAAAAGTCCAAGCCCAAATGGCTTCACTGGTAAATTCTATCAAGTATTTAAAGAAGAAATAATACAAATAAACTCTTCCAAAAATAGGAGGGAACTGTTCCCAACTCATTCCATGATGTCATTATCACCGTGATATCAATGCTGAATAAAGACAACCCAACAAAACTACATACCACTATCCCTTCCTCATGAATCCACAAGTAAAACTACTCATAAAGTATCAGCAGATCTAATCCAGAAATATGTAAAAAAAAAAAAAAAAAAAGATTATAATACACCATGACCATGTGGAAATATCCCAAGATTGGTTTCAAGTACATGTAATACATCTTACTATTAGAAAAAAAGAAAACTCGTCTAATCATCTTGACAGATGTGGACAAAGCTGACAAAATCCAGCATCCATTCACGGTAAAACTTCTCAGCAAACTAGGACTAGAAGAGACCTAGTACTTTATAGCTAGACCCTCCAGAACAGTTGTAAACCGTAGAAGTGGTGAGAGGAGGCATCCTCGGTTTTTGTTTTTGTTTTTCATTTTAGTCAGTTAACATGCAGTGCAATATTGGTTTCCAAAGTAGAATCTGGTGATTCACCACTTACACTCAAAAGCCAGTGCTCATCACAAGTGGCCTCCTTGATACGTGTCACCCATCTAGCCCATCTCCCACCCACCTCCCTCCATCAACCCTGTTTGTTCTCTATTGTTAAGAGTCTCTTGTGCTTTGTTTCCCTCTCTTCTTTTCCCCTCCCTTCCCATATGTTCATTTGTTTTGTCTCTTAAATTCCACATATGAATGACCTCATACAGTATTTGTCTCTATCTGCTTGACTTATTTCGCTTAGCATAATACATTCAAGCTCCATCCGCACGCATTGTTGCAGATGGCAAATTTTCATTCTTTTTGATGGCTGAGTAATATATTCCATCGTGTGTGTATGTGTGTGTATGTATACCACATCTTCAATTGTAGGGAGAAAGCAACTAGTGGCTTACCATTAAAGACGATGATAGCTGTAGGTAGGTTTTCCATACATGCCCCCTAATAATAAAATAATAATAATAATAATAATAATAATAGTAAGTGAGAGAGAGAAGTTGCAGGCATCCACGATAGGAAAAATATAATGCTGTTTTTTATTGATCTGTTCTTGTATTCGTAAGACCCTAAAGAATTCACATACACACATAGAAAACCCTACAAGAACTAATAAATGAATTCAGCAAGGTTGCAGGTTACAAGATTAATATACAAAAATCAGTTCTATTTTCAATGTGTTTAATTAAGAAGAAACCAAACATGAAGTTCTAAAACTCCATTCACTCAGGAACACATCTAAAAAGAGAAGCAAAAGTAAAACGATTAATACTGAAAAATGGAAGATGTAAGTAAATGGGAAGACATATCACATCTGTGCACTGGAAGATGATGGCAAACTTCTCAAACTGATTGAGGGATTCAATATGATCTCTATTACAATCCAAGGAGGGAATTCTGGGGAGGCAGCAATTAATGAAGTGATGCCAAAATGACACAGAAATGCAAAGAATGCATAAGTGCTGAACGATTTTGAAGAAGAACGAAGCTGAAGGTATAACACTTCTTCTTTCCAAAATTTACTAAGAAGCTTTAGTAAGTATCCCACACTAGGAGGTATAGACACGCACTTCAATGAGCAAGCCAAGAGCCCTCTAATAAACTCTGACATTTACAGTCAATTGGTTTCTGAAAAACATGCCAAGGCAATTTGATGGAGAAATGGTCGATGCCCTTCTCAACAAAATAGTGCTTGACCCAACTCGATATCTACTGCACAGAGAAGAATTTAGATCTTTACCATACAAAAAGCTTACCTCAAAATGAATCACAGACCAAAATGTAAAAGCTAAGGCTAATAAAATTTCTAGAAGAAGACAAAATAGAAACTATTTTCCTAACTTTGGGATAGACAAAGATTTTCTAAATGCAGCACCACAAGCATGATCTAGGAAAGAAAAAATGGACACACTGGACTTTGCCAAAATTAAAAACTTTCAGCTCTTTCTGCCATCTTGCAGCCTGTGGAGGCCTGCTGGGAACAGGACTCCTAAAATGACAAGTATGTCTAGAAGGCTGTCATCCAAGGCCATTTTTGCTGGTTCTTAGCGGGGTCTCCAAGACCAGAAGGAGCACAAAGCTCTTAAAATTGAAAGTGTTTATGCTCGAGAAGAAACTCAACTCTATCCAGGAGAGACATGTGCTGATGTGCACAAGGCATAGAACACAGTGACTCCTGATGGCAAAGTGAACGGAACCAGAGTGATGTGCGGGAAAAGTAACTCCTGCTCGTGGAAACGGTGGCACAGTTTGTGCCAAATCCCAAAGCAAACTTCCTGCTAAAGCCATTGGTCACAGAATCCATGTGATACTGTGACCCTCAAGGATTTAAACTTTACTGAGAGGTAAATGAAAAAAATCAAAAACTTTCATTCCTTAAAAGAAAATCCGAAAACAAGCATTAAGAAAATGGAAAAATAATCCAGACTGACAGAAAATATCTCCAAATCATACATCTAACAAAGGACTTCTATCCAGAATATACAAAGAACTCTTACAACTCAACAGTAAAACAAGGAAACCAATTAAAAAACGGGAAAAGATTTAAATATTTTATGAAAAAAGATGTATGAATGGCTAAGGACATAAAAAATGTTCAACATCGTTACTCATTATGGAAATGCAAATTAAAACAACAAGGAGACACTTTACACCCACGAAAAAGGATACAATCAAAAAGACCAATGATAACAAGTATCAAGAGCTAACAAGTATCAAGAGCCTGTGGAGACACTGTAACCCCCCCTAGGTGACTGGTAAGAATAGGAAACAATACTGCCACTCTGGAGAAATCGGCAGTTTTCTTAACTACTTAAATTTATCATGTTGGGTCAGAAATTCCATTCTTAGGTATTTATCCAAGAAAAATAAAAACAAAGCCCATATAAAGACTTAAAATGCAAATTTTCTGAACGGTATTGTTCATTCAACCCATTAAACTGGAAATAATCCAAATGTCCATCAACTGGTGACTAGATAAAAAAATGTGATACATCCATACAATGGAATATTGTTCAGCAATAAAAAGGAACAAACTGGTGATACCTGTTTCAACGTGAAAGAAACTTGAAAACATTACGCTAAATCAAAGAAGTCAAGATGCACAAGACTACACATTATGTGTTCGACCTACGTGACATGTTCAGAAAAGGTAAATCTATACAGACAGAAAACAGACTAGAGGGTCTCTGGAGCTGAGGACAGCAACAGGGACAGACTGCAAATAGGCACATCACAGATCATGATGATGGTGCCAAACTTTACACATTTACTAAAAATCACTGAAGCATGCACTTCTAGTGGATAAATGTTATGGTATATAAATTATACTTCAATAATGTTGTTTTTAAAAATTGGCTAAAAGATTAAAAACAAACAAAACAGATACAACAATACAGCATGGTATTTTTCTCTTACCTCTGCTGGAGATACTAGGCATAATCTGAGGAATCAGGTTATTGCTTGTATCCATTGGCTGGGAATTATCTTGCCCCATTTGATCATCTGGTGGCATATAGGCAGGAGGAGGAGTATCAGCTAAGAAGAAGAAAATAAGTCAAGTTCAAGTCCCAAAAGAATAGCTAAAACCTTCATCCTGCTTACGTGGATTCTTCAAGCACTGAGAAGTTCCTAAGATTACCAGCAGCATAGGTCAGTGAACATCACAAACAAAAATGTAGGACGCTGTCTAGGGCATGTGAAAATGAGAAAAGACAGCACACTCTTTAAGCTACTGAAAACCTGCTACAAGTCCACATGTATTTGGCCCAATCCAGGATAGTAAGATCAGTGCTAAAATTCACTAAAATAGAATTCAAGCTGGAGAATTTTGTCTTTATGTGCTCAGAATTCCAAGCTTGGAGAAACTACACTATTACAAACCAATCTGAAGGATGTAGATTATCCTAGTTTGAGTACATACCTACGGAGACACTTATTTTTTTTTATTTTTCTTAAAATGTTTATTTATTTATTTTGAGAGCGTCAGAGAGAGAGAGAGCATGACCAGGGAAGGGGGAGAGAGGGGGACAAAGGGGAAGGGGGGGAGGGAGGGAGGGAGAGAGACAGAGGGAATCCCCAAGCAGGCTCCACACTGAGCACAGAGCCTGACATGGGGCTCCATCTCACAACTTTGATATCATGACCTGAGCCTAAACCAGGAGTCAAGATGCTTACCTGACTGAGCCACCCAAGCACCCCTAGAAAGACACTTTAAATTATCAAGATCATCACATACTGTGTATTGTTACTGGACACTGAAAAATAAAACTATGGTTGTACAAAATGAACCAACACAAAGAGCAGAGATATCGGATTCTTTTGCAACATCCTAAAATGGCTGTCATACCTGACTAAATGACTAGGTAATTCTTAGGAAATTGAATCTTAACTAGAAAAATTTTTAGTTCCAGCGCTCACAGTTAAAAATCTTTGCAAAAACTACAGCTGTATCTTTCTCTCAGTAACTATAAATACTGAATATAATCTGTCTCTCACCCCAAGGTTTGTGCAAAATATATTTTGAGAAAGAAGTGCAATCAGACTGAATCTAAGACAAAGTATGAAAATTAGTTTTTGAACAAATACCTAACAGCAAGTTAAACAGGTGACACTTAACTCCTCTTAGAAAGATAAAAAATAAAATAAAAAACTGCATCAACTGATATTTCACTCCAGTAGAGAAGCCAGAAATAATATGCTTACGTAGGCATTCAGAGCGACAAAACAATGTGTTCAAGCAGGACATGCTATTAACAAAATGTGGGAACTTTATAAAATCTACTTACGATCTTTCTCCAGGCAAACTAGTTCATCAGACCTAATTAAAGATAACTGGAGTGCGTTTTAACCTTCCAAAGTCTATAGTTGTGACAATCATTAAAGTTAAAAAAAGCAAAGGCTTCAGAGTCAGAGAAGCCTAGGTCTTAAACCTTAGGCAAGGTACTTAAACTGTTGGGAGAGAATATCAATTTCTTTCTCCACCTATAATAACAGGAAGACTTATCTCACAATTTAATGCAATATCTTTCATCATAGTACCAGTTACACAAAAGGCACTTGATAAATGGCACTTCATATTATAAATGATATGAAAATATTGAAGTCAAATACGGATACTTTCATTTTTTTGGTAGAACATTGTATTTTAATGTTTATTTTTGAGAGAGAAAGAGGGAGAGAGAGAGAATACATGTGCAGGAGAGGGGCAGGCAGACAGGAAGACACAGAATCTGAAGCAGGCTCCAGGCTCTGAGCTGTCAGCACTGGGCTGACCTGGGGCTGGAACTCATGAACTGCAGCATTATGACCTGAACCGAAGTTGGCCGCTTAACAACATGAACCATCCAAGTGCCCCTAGAACTTTTATTTATTTATTTTTTTAAATGTTTTATTTATTTTTAGGAGAGAGAGAGAGAGACAGCGTGAGCAGGGGAGGGTCAGAGAGAGAGGGAGTCACAGACTGAAACAGGCTCCAGGCTCTGAACTGGCAGTCAGCACAGAGCCCGATGCAGGGCTCGAACCCACGAACCATGAGATCATGACCCAAGCGAAAGTCGGACGCTTAACCGACTAAGCCACCCAGGCGCCCCTAGAACTTTTATTTTTAATTCCTGGTAATACATAATTTAGTTCTTTGGTCCAAAAAATGATCCAGTGATAATTAAACAACACTTCTGTTTTTCTAGATTATCTACTTTACTTCACAGTCATCAAATACAGTCTTTTTCATCCTTCAGGTAGATTAACCTATTAGAATACTCTGCCTTTAAACCATGAGACACTCCTGAATGCTGAGAACAAACTGAGGGCTGATGGGGGTGAGGGGAAAGGGGGTTATGGGCATGGAGGAGGGCACTTGTTGAGATGCCCACTGGGTGTTATATGGAAACCAACTTGACAATAAACTATTTAAAAAAAAGAAGAAGAACACTCTGCCTTTAATGTGTACACGACTCCCTATGAAACCTTTCAACTTGGCACCATTTGGCTTCACTCTCAAGCCACAGTGGCAGCCACTCTGTATATACTTAGCTGTAAATGTATATATGTATTTCTAGAATTTCCTCCATTCATTTAATAAATATTTACTGAAGGTCTATCATATACCAGGCTCTGTTATAGGCTCTGGGGATGCAGTAGTAAACAAAATGTGCTAAATTTCCCCTTTTCAAGGAGTTTGTACTCAAGATAGGGAGAGGACAGAAGGACAGAATATAAGATCATCTATACCATGTTGGACTGTCATAGACACTATAGACAAAAATCAAGCAGTGAGAGAGAGAATATAGGATGAAAGGAGAAAGTGATTTTTTTTCATTATTCTTAAAGGATCACCTTCCCAAAACTGTGTTTGCATTTTTAACATTCAATTTACTTAAAATAAAAAAACAAAACCAGTTCATCCATTTCTCCTACCCCTTCTCTTTGGCAACAACCAATCTGTTCTCAGTATCTATGATCTTGGTGTGTCACTGTTGTTTGTTGTTTCTCAGATTCCATACATAACAAAAATCTGATGATATTGGTCTTTCCCTGACTTACTTCACTAAGCGTAATACCCTCAAGGTCCAGCCATGTTGTCACAAATGACAAGATTTCATTCTTTTATGGCTGAATACACCACCATTTCTTTATCCATTCACCCACTGATGGACACTCGTCGCTTTCATGTGTCAACTATTATAAATAATGGTACAATGAACACAGGGGTGCACATGTTTTCAAACTGGTGATTTTGTTTCCTTCAGATAAGTACTGAGAAATGCAATTACCAGACTGTATGGCACTTCTACTTTTAATTGAGGAAACACCATACTGATTTTCTGTACCAATCTGCATTCCCACCAACAGTGCATGAGGATTCCCTTTTCTCCAAATCCATGCCAACACTTGTTATTTCTAGTCTTTTTGATAACAGCCACTCTAAACAGGTATAAGATGATAGATAACTCATTGTGGTTTTGATTTGTATTTCCCTGATGATTAACAGTGGAGAGCATCTTTTCCTGTGTGTTGGTCACGTACACGTCTTCTTGAGAAGCAGGTCTATTCAGGTCCACTGCCCATTTACTAATTGGAATGTTTGTTTCTGTGCTATTGAATTGTAGGAAATCTTTATATATTATGGATATTAGCCCCTCATCAGAGAGATGATTAGCAAATATTTTCTCCCATTCGGTAGGCTGCCTTTTCAGCTCTGCAGAAGCTTTTTCGTGGGATGTCATCCCACTTGTTTCTTTTTGCTTTTGTTGCTTTTACTTTCGGTGTCAGTCCAAAAAGCCAGCACTAACCACTGTCAAGGAGCTTCCTGCCTATGTTTTCACCTAGGAGTTTTATGGTTTAAGGTCTTGGGTTCAAGTCTTTAATGCACTTTGAGTTAATTTTGTGCATGGGGTCAGTTAGTGGTCCAGCTTCATACTTTCACATGTGGCTGTCTAGCTTCCCCAACAGCATGTGTTGAAGAGACTGCCCTTTCCGCACTGTACATTCTTAGCCTCTTTGTCATAAAGTAATCCTCCATCTAAGTGTAGATTTATTTCCAGGCTCTCTCTTCTGCTCCAGTAATCTATGTGTCTGTTTTTATGCCAATACCACACTGCTTTAATTATGATATCTTTAAAACTGTATGTTAATTATACTTCAATTTTTTAAAGAGTACTTAAAAAATTACTATAGCTTCCTAATATAGTTTGAAATCAGGGAGTGTGATGCCTCTGGCTTTATTCTTTCTCAACACTGCTTTGGTTATTCTGGGGTCTTTTATGGTTCTATATAAATTTTATACTTGTTCTATTATTCTGAAAAATATACCAACTTCCCTTTTAAAAAACATATGGTACATGGTACATGGCATATAACTGGTACATGGCAAAATAAAATCTAAAACTCTTCTGGATATCAATTATCAAAGGAGAGAGTCAAAAACAGCTACCTCTTAGCATGTAACAGTTCACCCAGAGGGCCAGTGATATAAGAACAACAGCTGATTCTTGAGGATTAATTTATTTTGTATCAATAAAATAAATTCTTACCTGGGAGCTGAAATGGACTTCCTGGTCCAGAACTTGCTGGGGAATTGGGGTATGTGCTGCTAGCGGGGGAAGGGGGATACGGACTATTTGGAGATAAGGGAAAAGGAGTGTTGTTGGGCTGGTGGAAAGAATCTGGAAACGTTGCGTTTTGTGGCATGTGCGGCTCGTTGTGGCTCAGGTTTCTAAACTGAACCAAAAGGCTGTGTTGTGGATTGAATTCATTGTGACGAGGCACTAATACTGGAGGTAAGACTGAAAGACAAAAATTAAAAGTCATCTGTCAGCAATAACTAAAGCAAACATCCCATACACATTAAAGGGTCGATAGAAAGGATTCCGTACAATTATAAGCCTATTAAAACAATTTACTTTCAGGAAGGGCTGCTTTGTAGAACCTTGAATGTGTATTTACAAAATAACTAAACCAAAAACTCTTTAAGGATTTAGGCCTGTATACAGAACTCTGGAAAACAGAAAATCCGGAAGAGACACCACTCCTGTTCATAGGAGAGAAAGCCATGTTTAAAAACAACAATAATACAGAGAATTTAGTGCAGTTAGAGTTCAAAGAGGTGAGCATCTCCAGCTAGTAAGGGATTAAGCAGCACACTGTGGGAAAGACCACACCCGATTAAACCTTAAAGAATGAGGCGTGCCAGGGGCAGAGATAACAGAGGAGAAGATGGTGAGACTCTAGGAGGGAGGCATGAAAGCACAGTAAGGTGGCCTAAACATTCAACTAGGAGCTGAGATTAAGGACAGACAGTGAGGCCAACTGAAGATGACCTGAAAGCCTCTGTGTTTTCAATGTTCAACATTTCATCTTTCTTAGTTTGAAAGATACCACATTTTATGTTCTTCAGCAAAATTTTCCCTATTGAAAACAGTAGCATTTCCTAGGTACAAGTCTTCCCTTCAAAATCAGTTTTCTAGTCATGACCATAATGAAAATACATCCAACAAAGCCTAAGTATTTTAAGAGACATATTTTTAAAAAGATGAACTTATATTCTAACATTCACTTTCTCTAAAGACCCAAATGACCAATCACACAGAAATGTCTATCTTTCCCCATAGGGAGTCAAAACAAACCTGATTTCTTTCAGCTCCTACTGGAAGCACCAGTTTATCTCTTTTACAACGTTTCCATATTTGCCAATGCAATTTTACTTTCAAAAATCTCACTTTGACTCTGACATCAATCAGCAGCAATAAAATCAATCTGTTTTTAAATTAATTAGGTCATACTTCCCCTCCCTGAAGTAGGGATGTACCTGAGGAATCAGAGGCTCTATAAGTCAGCATTTGTACTGTTTTTGTCTGTTTGTTTTTTTTGTACTGAATCAGTGTTGTAATCACGTAGTTAACATCTATCTGATTACAACTGTTTTGTTCTACTGTGTATTACCAACTGCTGTTCCCTCACAGAAGGATGGGACAGCTGCCATTGGAGAGCGGGGCATTAGACAGGAAGAATTTCTATGTTTAGCTGGCTAGCAATCTGAAAGACTTAGTGAAGTAACTATTTAGGAATCTAATCTAGTAAGGATTCCTTTACTTCTTTTTTTTAGAGGCAGAGCTAAAATCAGTGACTTCTCTCTTACTTTGTACTATCTATATGTGCTTTTTTAGAAATTATTTTATTTTCATCCATAATACATGCATGGTTTAAAAAGACAGATGGTGCAAGAGATACACAGCAATTTTTAGGCCTCCTCCTATACTACTTCAGAGACAACAAATTCAAACTCTTACCCATTTCTTCTAACATTTACTGTGTGCACTGCTAAATAATATGCTTATATTGCTATTATTAACTTGTGAAGACACTGCAGATTTGCTCTTGTGGCAAAGAAGTAGCTTTCTTATTACATCACTCTACCCTAATCCCATTCCCCTTTCCCACAATAAAGTTTGAAAAAACTTACAATAATTGAATACAAATATTATTCAATCCTGAACCAGATATGTACTATGATTTTATGTTTTCTTGAACAGTGCTTTTAGTAAAGCTGATTATTGAGCTGTTCCTTCATTTGCTTAATCTTAAGTACATACCACTGATACTTTCAGGATCTAACAGTTTTGTCAAATTCCTGTCAATACTATTTTCCAGATGCCACAAATAAACACTCTATTAACTCATTTCTTCCCTTGGGCCCTTCACCCTTCATTCTTCTACAATCTAGGCTGGTTGCTACTTAAGTCTCCTACACATCTCAAGTCCTTAGACTCTTCTTTCCTGCTGGATCCCATTTCCTGGATTTCATCCTCTACCAGTCTCCTAAAGAAGGGTAAAAGGAAGATGAATTTTTAGTCGTTCCATATATGAAAATACCATGTCTTCTGTCCATCTGCAGACATATTCCAGAATAAATAACTTTTTTCTTTCTGAATTTTGGGGGCACTGCTTCATTATCTTCCAGAATCCAGAACTGCTCTGAAAAACCCAACATTCTCACTTACAGTTCTTTGTAGATGTCCCTACTTTTCTCTGTAGGAACTTTTAGAAAATTCTTTTTTAACCATGGTATACTAAAATTTCACGTGTGGGTTTTGGTTTTTGTTTTTGTTTTTATTTTCAATCCCTGACAGCACCTTCGTTGCCATTCTTTTTGCATTTTCCAGAGCCTTTCTTACCGTTCTGGACTTATATTATCTCTAGGTGAAATCCATACAGCCTCTAAGGTGGCCACCGTGATTCCCACCTCTCAGTACTCACCCCTGCACAATCCTCTCCCTTTCAGTGTCTTATCGTGACTTGCCGTTAACTAACAGAATGTGGCAAAGGTGACAGGACGTACGTGATAACGCAGTATAAGAACGCAATGCCCTTCCATCAGGAAGACCCTCTTTCTCTTCCTGTGTCTGAAGAAATGAGCTGACATGCATGTGAGCTACCTCTGAAAAAGTGGCAAGCACATGAAGTCAGCCTCAACTCAACAACCAGCAAGAAGCTGGTTGTGGGCCCAACAGCCCACAAGGAACTCAACCCTGCCAACAATCACATGAGCCAGAAAGCAGCTCCTTCCCCACCTGAACCTCACAGGGAACCCAAACCTGTAAAGGACCCAAATTAAGCCATGCCTGGACTCCTGGCTCAGAGAAACTTAAATAGTAGACATGTATTAAGCCACTTAGCTTGTGTTAATTTGTTATACATCAAAAGATAACTAATGTACTGAACTAGCATCTCAGCTAACACAATCCATTAAAACCAAAAACAAACAAAAAAACAACTTACTGTGCATCATGTACTGAGTGCAAGGTCTATTCTAGGCACTGCTGATGCAGTATAGAATGAGACAGGGGAAGTTCCTGCTTATATCAGTCAATAAATCAAAGAAAAAGCTAACTCGGTGTCAAGCAGTGATGGGGGTATTTGAGCAAGGGCTGAATGGTGGGAGAAAATGTGCCATAAAAAGATGGTAGGGGAGAGGAAGTAGAAGAAATAGAAAAAAAAAAAAAAAGTCTAGATGCAGGAGTGGGGCAAGTCCACGGAAGAGAGGAAGTCTGAAGAGAGGTTATATATGGGCTTGTAGAAATCTGTTCTAAGTGTGATCAAAGTCTCTTAAGTGTTTTGAGCAGGCATGGACATGATCTGGCATCCTCTAACGATCACTCTGGCTGCTGTGCAGAAAGCAGAATGGGTTGGGGGGAAAGAAAAGAGGCAGAGAGACCAATTAGGACACTACTTAAGATGAAAGATGATTATGGTCTTTACTAGAATAGTGGTATGAGAAATGGTAAGAAGGGACATTTATCAAGACACACCTTGAAGGGACAGCAAAGAGCATTCGCTTGTAGCTTAAATTCAGGACATCGGAGAGAGAAATGATAGAAAACGTCAGTAGTGGTTACACAAATGCTTGGTGCCATTTACTTCAACAAGGAAAACTGGAAAAGAAAAGGACTTGATGGGGGGAAAAAAATCAAAAGTTCTATTTAGACACAGGAAATCTGCTGTTTATGAGAGGGTTCGAGTGGAGGTGTCAAGTGGGCAACTGGACACAGAAGTCTAGAACTCAAAGAGGCTCACCCTGGAGTTCAAATTGTGAGCCAGAGCTTTCAGACAGTTTTATGACAAGTGACAGCTAGAGAGCCCATAGAGAAAAATACGGATGTAGAAAATATCCAGGGACTGAGTCATGTGAAAACAGGAAAATAAGCCAATAAAGAGACTAAACAAAACAGCCAGTGAAGGAGAAGAACCAGAAGAGCATAGGGTTCCAGAAGCCAAGAAAGACAGACTTGTGCGCGGGAAGGAAGGAAAGCAATCGTATCAAATGCTGATGAAAAAGCAAGGAAGATGAGGCCTGAGAATGAGCCCTCTATCCAGAAGAAGGTCACCAGGGATCTTCGCAAGTCGAATGATCGGGAAGAGAGACCAACTAGGGAGAGGAGTCTGGAAAGGGGAGGATCCAGGTCCTATGGAGGTCATAAAAGTGGAGATACCTATAAGAGGACAAGGTGAAAGAGTGCAGGAGATTGTGGGTGAGGGGATGTGAATGGGGTCAAGCCCAGCATTCTTGTTGTTCTCTTAGTTTAGGAGAGGCAGTATCATGACATGCTCATGTGCTGACAGAAATCGTCTAGCAGGGAGGGGACATATCATGCTAAGGAGAGGGGTGATGACTGGAGGAACAAAGTTCTTGAATAACAAAAAGGAGTGGGATGCAGTACACACATGGAGCTTAGGTTTTAGAAAAAACAGAGACATGTCATCCACAGGAAAGGCTGAGCATATATACAACTAACTCTGCCTCATTCACGTACAATATGACTGACTGCTTACAGTGGATGTGAATTAGAATTAGCTACTTGGGAGCTATATTATCTACATATAAAAAGCTAAATTCAAAATCCACTATTACTTGCAAGATTAAAATTTTTAGGAAGGAAACACAGGGCTAATATAGCCTTTTAACTACTAAATTCACTGAAATGTAAATCAGAAAGAGACACTTTTTAAATTCTTCTCAGAGCAGAACCTACCTGGACTCTCCACTCTCTTATAGTGGTATGGGTTGATACAAACTTCTTTTTGCTTAGATCCAAAAGGAAATTCACAAATATCCAAGGGCTTTAGCTCATGGTGACTCTGCAGATCAGGCCAGCGCCAAACACGACAATATATGACATGGGGTAAGCCTTTTCTATGAGAAACCTGCAGGCGTCCATCTAAAGATCTGGGAATAGTGACACATTTGCTCGGCTGTCCTGGACTGCTCAAGGCTTTCTCCAATTCTTCCATGGCACCCTTTTTCTTTTTTAGCTTTTTCACCAAAGCATCGACTGCCTTTTCTGCCCATTTCTCCTCTTCATCACCTTGCTTCCAGCCCAACAATCGCTTTACTGCTGGACTAGTAAAGGAGAACAAGCTGGCCATTGACGTCATTTGATATCAATCTTCAGAGACCTTCCTGCAACTCAAAGTCAGTGGCTACTCACAGAAGAGCTCACAGATGAAAAGTCATACACAGGTTCTAAGCAGAAGTTCCAATTGAAAAGGGAGGAGTGACATTTATCTTCGTAAGTGCCATAAGATTCTTTCATTGGTTCAAGTCCTGAAAGAGAGTAAAAAGGATAAGATCCCTAACTTAAATGAACACAATTAACACACATTTAAATCAATGTACATGAAAGGTATGTTATTTTTAAAGGAGAACAGAAAGGCATTACCAAAGTAAAACAAAAAACCTAACTCTAGAAAGAGAAATTTTCTCTAAAGTTCTGTGACCACTCACTTCCTTTCTTCATACATGAACAAATAACTCACTGGCAATGCCAAAAGACTACCAAAAGCAAAAAACACACTGCTCTACCTCCTATGTATTATCCAAAAAAATAGCCTCTAGACTTTTCCTTTCCTTAGGCTAGTAAGCCCCCAAATGCCCTTCGAAAGTTTGATTCTGAAGTACTTATCTTCTCTGAAACCCATGTTACATGTTATGTCAATTTTGAATACGACATGGCCTAATGAACAAAAGTCTTCATAGAAATCTAGCTTTTCCCTAAAGTCATTATTCTTCATAAAATATCTCAGAGACTTAACAAGGTTTGGGCAAAAGCCATAGTACTACTTAAGTCCCATTATTAGAAGCAAATTTTATCAAATTCTAGCTTAGTTTTTTTCATAAGAGATAACAAACCCTCAAATAAATCATAACACACATAATGGCCAGAAAAGTGGGAAGTCTCTATTTTTAAAGCTAAGAATACTGAATAGATTTAAAGGGAATAAATTTATAGTTTAATCCAGAAAGGACAGTTTATAATTTCATGATGTCTCTCGCCTTCTGTGATAACTTCAGCATGTTAAGTTAAAGAACCTGCACTAGCCAGACCGTTCCTCTGCACCCTTAAGAAGCTCCTGGCGATGATGACAAGAGGAAGTGATGTGCGGTGGTACTATACTGATAAGAATGGGTACAATTCCCTGTGGTCAATACACAGCCAACTGCAGACAATGAGTAGCTAGTGAAACAGCAGGAGTAATGTTTGGAAAAAGGATATCAGTAACCAAAGATGCATCCTTTCTTGTGCCTAAAATTGCAAATAATGTCGCAGCTCTGCCTTTGACAAATTCTAGTCAACTCTAGTGTCAAGAACATCCTGGACTGGGACACACATCTTCCCAGAAAAGAATGTTCAGTTAAAAACCATGTAAATATAAATTAAAATAAAAGGGAGTTAAATTCAACGAATAATTACCAATTGCTTGTCACGTGCCACGTATGGTGAACTGTCATGACGGTGCTTAAAGAAACAAGTCACTTCAAGTACGCTTCATCTTAAGAGCCAACATGTACTTACTGTGAACCTACTAAGTGTCAAGCATTGTTCTGGATGCTGACCGAGCAGCAATGGCTATCCAGACTGCTTTGAGCCAAGGTTAGGACCTGCAGCCATGGGGGAAAAGGTGTACAGAAGAATACTTCTGTGTAGATGAACTTCCCCGACCCAACATAGGATAATTTTAGCCAGGGAAGCAAAACTGGCTATGCTAAACTAAAGAAATGAAATGAGAGATTGAAAAGTGTATTTGTCAGTGACAACTCACAGACTATAGTGTTATGTGCTAAACGTAAAGAAGGGCTGGGCTCAGTTGTAGCTACCTCAAGGAAACAGGATAAAAGCCATCTGGGCCAGAGAGTAAAGGTAAGAAAATAAACCAAATAAGGTTTGTTTGTCCAAGACAAGAGAAATTTCAAAGGCATACAGCAACAAACAAACAAATACGTGGGTAGACCAGAATAAAGCATTTCCCCAAATAGAGTATAGACAGGTCTGGCTGAATAAGACCTTTATTGAGAAACAGTGGAACATGATGAAGGCTAGACAGGGGAGTGCATGTGTATGCTAGAGAGAATATATGAGCAATGGAGAGGTTAAGCTGAGAAGGGGAAGACAAAAGGAGAAAAGCTTGAAGACCAGACACTAGATTAATAATAGTTAACCACTAGAAAGCGGTTAATAAATTTTAACTACTAATCTAATATCACTATCATCATCAAGTACTAACCGTATTATGTATTTAAAAAAAGGAAAAGTTATTTATGCAAGTAAACAGAGAACAAAGTCTAGAAGTCCACACAATTAATCATTGCACAGAATGGGGGAAAGGAAATAGAAAGGGGTCCAGTGTGATTTGTTCTGTACACTTCTGTATTGTTTTAACCTTTTAACAAAGGGAATCTGTTAATGCATTACTTGCATGATATGAAAATTTAAAAAAATCAACTGAAATTAGGATTAACAGAATGGAGTTTTAAGCGATGGTACTACAAGGAGGTAAAACTAATGCATGCTGTAAGTAGGAAAGAATAGTGGTTTCCCTTTCAAAGGAAGGATATTGATTAGAAGGGAATCTGAGAGTTTCTGCCATCCTGGTGAAGTTTTCTTCTCACTATGGGTGCTTATAGGGGAGAGCTCAGTTTGTGAAAATACAGCTGGTGGGATACTTAACATGTACACTGTACACGCTTCTGTATGGTTTAAAAATATTTTCTGGACATATAAAAAAGTATTGAGTGCTCAATTTCCTTCCCATTTTTCGTCCCATCATCAATCAATTCCACTTTTCACAGATAATCCTTTTATTGTGTCCTTAATGTCATTCCAGAGAAATTTCTCTCTCTCACACACTCTCACACACACACACACACACACACACACACACACACCCCTTCTTTGACATAAGCAGTGGTATCCTAAAAAGAAAAAACATACAGGAAAACATGAACAACATACCTTTCAGATCTTCCCATACCAATATAGAAAGAGCTCCCAAATTCTTTTCTACTACACAGATTTCTCATATAAAAGTAATCTTAAAAGTATGTCAAACTCTGTCATTCCTCTGCTCAAAAATTACTCAGTGGTTTCCCATCACACTTGGTATCCAAATTCCTTAACATCACTTCAAAGGGCCTACATGATCTGGTCTTTGGCTTCTCCACCAAATTCATTTCTTACCATTCTTCTAGCTAACTTTGCACTTAATCACCCTTGACTTCCTTACATTTCTCAAGTGTTCAAGGTCATTTCTACCTCAAGGCCTTTGCACTTGATGTTTTCTCCTCTGGAATTCTCCCTGATCTTATTTAATACGCTTACTCTTTCAATTAATTCAGCTACTCAAATGTCACCTTGTGAAGGACTACTACCCTGGTCACTTTACCTAAAACAGTATACAACACACTCCCACATCATTCCCTAGTCCCTGATCCTGCTAAATTTTCATAGTATTTATCCTAACCTGATCAATATATCAATTTTATTTCTTTATTAGAAATAAATTTTCCCCACTGAAATGTTACTAGGCAGGTAGCTTTATCTTCCTTATCCACCATCATGATCCCCTGGACCCAGAATAGTACCTATTTATTCAGTGAGTGAGCAAGCAAGCAGAGTGTGAGTACATTAAGGAAAAGCAACTTGGAAAGGATACATTCCTTTATAAGAGCAACTGTACAAAAGTTAAAACACTGTACTTATGGATATGTACAATACGATAAGAGAAGATAAGTATGAATAAAAATGATAACACACCAATCTCAGGACACTGAGTACTGAGTGCTGCTGCTAAAAGGAAAGGAGGATAAAGAATGGAAAAGCCTCAGCTGTGTTCTTTTAAAATCAGATTCAAAAGTAACTTGGCGGGGCACCTGTGTGGCTCAGTCAGTTAGGCGGCCGACTTCGGCTCAGGTCGTGATCACACGGTTTGTAGGTTCGAGCCCCGCATCAGGCTGGCTCTGTGCTGACAGCTAGCTCGGAGCCTGGAGCCTGTTTCAGATTCTGTGTCTCCCTCTCTCTCTGATCCTCCCCTGCTCACGCTGTTTCTCTCTCTCTCTCTCTCTCTCAGAAATAAATAAAACATTAAAAAAAATTTTTTTTAAACTTGGCAAGTAATGAGTATGCTGTTTTCTCGCTTTTCTGTTTAAATATGTCATAACTCAAAATATTCACTACTTTTAATTTTTAAAAAATAGTATGATGAAAACAAAAAATGACCAAATTCAATCCATTACGAGATAGAAGACCATGAGCAAGTATCATTCTTTCTAAGTCTAATAACTTTTCTGTACAAAAGGATGATGGCTCCTAAGTCACTGAAATGTTTAAGTAAAAAAATATGTGTACACACAACACATTTGTAATAAATGCTTTATAAACTCCAAAGTGCTATTCAAACATGAGTTATAATCGTTAGTATTCAAAGAAAGAGTCAAGACTTTAAATATTTTTTAATTTATTTCTAGGAGAGAGAGACAGCGTGAGCAGGGGAGGGTCAGAGAGAGAGAGAGAGACACAGACTGTGAAACAGGCTCCAGGCTCTGAGCTGGCAGTCAGCACAGAGCCCGACGCGGGGCTCGAACCCACACACCGCGAGATCATGACCCAAGCGAAAGTCGGACGCTTAACCGACTAAGCCACCCAGGCGCCCCGAAAGAGTCAAGACTTTAAAAAAATCTTATACCAACCTAACATACCCACCACTCTACCACTATACACACTTTCAGATCCAGCCCAAATACCTGTACTTTTGCCCATCAGTGTCTTCCAAGAGAAATCTCTTCCACCCCCTATTATGAAGAACTCCTTCACCACCCTACTCTAAAGAGGCTATGGTCAATGAATATTTATGATAAAAACTAATTAGTAAGATAATGACAAGGAGATGCCTGGGTGGCTGAGTCTGTTGAGCATCTGATTCTTGACTTCATGTCCGGCCATGGTCCCACAGTTCATGAGTTCCAGCCCCATGTCAGGCTCTGAGCTGAGGGCAAGGAGCCTGCTTGAGATTCTCTCTCTCCCTCTCTCTCTACCTCTTTCTAAACTGCACCAACCCTCTCAAAATCAAGAAGTAAACAAGAAAAAGACATTGACAAGAACATATCTTAACTTGGCAAATGGAGTACAAGATCCCTTGAAGAGGAAGTCTTCAGGACCTGAACCATTCCATGCATCATATCACATACTAAGGGAGTATTTAATGAGTGGTCATTGATTTTTCTATCAACTATACCTTGAAATCAAAGATAGTTTCCAATTTTGAACCAGGTGACTAAGATAATGGTAACTCCGTTAGCAGAATTAAGGACACCCAGAAGGTAGTTTAGTCAGTAGAGAGTGAACTCTATCAGAAAAAAGGTCACAGCTGTATACACAGGTTGAGCAAGAAAAAGATAAGAGATTTAAGATTTTGTACAACGAGCTAAAAGAGAAATAAAAAATAGGTTTTCAACAGAATGAAAAGAGAAGCACATTAACACTGACATATTAGGGAACATTCACTGGTAGAGAAGAGGAAAAAGTTACCAATAAAGTATTGTAAAAGGAGGAGCTTAGGATTACATACAACAATAGTGCAGAGTATCAAACACAAGGCAGAGTTTAAAGAGAATCAGAACAAAGAAAAGGCTAATAACTGGTGAATGAGAATATCATTAGTTTAACTTCAAGAGACTGTTATCAGGGAAAAAAAATTGGTGTCAGATTCCAAAAACTTAAGACTCAATGTTAATGTTTTCTTAAAACTAGCACTGGGAAAGGAGTAGGGACAAATCATGTACTCAACTCTTTAAAAATGGAATGATTAAAAATTTCAGAAAACTTTCATGGTATTCTTTCTAAAAATATTCTATAACTTCATAAACTACAGAAGTGGTATGTGCAAGTAATTCAAGTACTCATTATTTAAGTCTCACCTTACAAAGTCGTTGTAAGAATTTACTGGTGAATAAACAGAACAACTGATCAGGCACTTCACATAAGAAAATGGCCATTAGATGGTAAAATGGACTCATTAGATGGTAAAATGGACTCAACATTATTACTTATGAGAAACAATTTTTTTAAAGAGAACAGTGAAATATCACTCCACAGTACACATAAATCCCAATGACCCAGGAATTCCATCCCTTGGTATATATAACTAACAGAAACAAGTGCTATGCCACCAAAAGGCAAATACACGTTCACAGCAACTTTATGTGTAATAGTCCCAAATTGGAAATAACCCAAATAAATAGACATCAACAGTGGAATGGGTCAATAAATCCTAGTGACAAGTTCATACAAGAGAATACTTCACAGCAACGACAAAAAAAACATATGAAAAACATGAATAAGTCGCATAGATAGAATACTGAGGCAGTTAGATACAACAGGTATCTGTGTATTTTATCATTCCTTCTCAAAAACAGGCAAAACTAACCTATGTCATCAGAAACAAGAAAGGTTAACTAAGTGGGGACAAGAGAGTCTTCTGGGGAGATAGAAATATTCTATATCTTGATCTGGGTGATGATGACATAGATGGACATGTACGTAAATGTTCAATGAGCTATATATACATAAGATTTACTTTAAAAAATCTTTAAAAAATTTGTTTGTAAACTGATCACTTATAAAATTAGTTCCTATTCATTAACATCTCCCTCATCATAATGACTTACAAACCACCAGCGAAAGTACAAAGTTTGCAAAATACTGAAAGATTTTACAAAGTTTATTAAAATAATGCCCACCAATGTAGGGTTGGGGGTTTAATTTCACCCTACCACTCCCCACACCAAGCAAGTAAGTTAGTCTGTTACCTGTTTCATGGATGCTGATGAAGGACATGGGACTCCAGAGTCAGAGACGAAGGACTTGATCACTCATGGACAGACAGCAAGCAGCATGAGCATCCAAGAGACCCACAGGAGTGACGTAATATTGTCAAGATGGAGAGTACTCCTGAAGTGGGTTTGCGCTGACAAGGAACAATGAACTTAGGGAATTCACCCCTTTTACAGTTACAGTAGCAAGCCTATCTAGTGGAGAGGGAACAGCCTCACTGTCAAATTAAGAGTGGTCCTGAGTAAAATCAGTATGTATTTTTCCGGATATTTTCACAAAAAAATTAAAAAGCTCTTCATGTTAGTAGTACACATGACAAATATAAGGGATGCCCTATCATGCTAAATTATCTTGTGAGAAAAATTAAGCCTATCCATCAAACTTGATCCATTCTTTGTTCATTTTAAGAATACATGTTTACAACTGTAACTTAATGTTTTTCTCAAGTTTCAATTTTTGAAGATAAAGTTCTAAGCAGGCCTTTTATTCACAATTTAATATAAAATACTGATCAAATTTCAAATGGCTTCATTTTAAAAGGGCTTATTTAGAGTCAATTATCGTTAGTTCAGAAAGACCTAAATGTTGCATGAGCTTTTCTTAAAGACTTAGTTATCCATATGAACCTCTCCATTGCTGGGCTGTGCTGGAAATTCTCTGTGCCAAGCAGAGAACATGGGCTGCAATGTCAATGACTGAAGAGACAAAACGGCATGAAAGATCTTAAAAAGTTACCTATAGAGGTAGACTTCTGTTGGACATTTGGCTTTCTTAAAAAGAATATAGCTATTTCAAGGAACCCAACAGCTTTCTTTCCACAAAATCAATTGCTAAAGCAAAGGCACTAATATTCCTTTGATAATGATAATAATAATAAACCACTAACATTTACTGAACACTGTGTCAAGCACTGTTAAGGACCTTCCACTGGGAGATGAAAAATCATTAAAATCTCCAAAGAGCCACATCAGGTAAATTCCACTATTCTCATTTTACAGATGAGAGAACAGGGAAAGAGAAATTAAAAGTAACTTGCTTATTTCTATAGATTAGAAACAGAGCCAAGAATTGAACTCTGGCAGTCCAGCTCCAGAACTCACACTCCTAAACACTGTACACACTGTACCCTAAACAGAAAGTCTCCCACCAAAGAATATTCTTCCCTTAAATACCTTCTCTACTGTTCTCCATACCTGACTTCTCCAAAATACTCAAATTGTTGTTATCACAAGATTATCACAAGTTTCAGAGACCAGGGATAATCCTGTTCAATACGCTCATTTTCAAACTGATTTTTTATACCACTTAACATATTAACCTCTTCATCTACTTTAACCCATTCTTCTCTCAATTGAACAAAGTGAGTTAAGTATTATATATTACTATTTCTTATTTACTTATTACTATTATTATTATTACTACTGTATAAAAATTACTATTGTTTAAAAATTTACATTTGGGGCGCCTGGGTGGCTTAGTCAGTTAAGCGTCCGACTTTCGCTTAGGTCATGGTCTCGCAGTTCGTGGGTTTGAGCCCCACTGGGCTCTGTGCTGACTGCCAGCTCGGAGCCTGGAGCCTATTTCAGAGTCTGTATCTCTCTCTCTCTCTGACCCTCCCCTGCTCACGCTGTCTCTCTCTCTCTCTCTCCTAGAAATAAATAAAATATATAAAAAAAATGTTTTTTAAATAAAAATAAATAAAAATTTACAATTATTATGGTAGCCTTATTCCAAAGCCTTTTTATTTCATTAGGACATTTGTGCCACACTAATCACTAGAATACAATGGGTGCATATTGAATAACTACAGTCTTTAGAAGTAACATACTGCTGGGCAATTAAATCTGGTCCTCTGTGCTCCCTGTCTACAGCACACATGCACACACACACTTTTAACAGCCCAAATCTAATTCACTCACCCACTTCCTTAATATTTAACATTTAGGTTTCTAAATAAAATTATTACATTGGGATCAAAACTGCCATTGTACCCATATGACAAATTTTCTCCTGTAAACTTTTCTGTAGACCCTATCAGTTTCAAATTAATACCTTGATATAATCCTGAAATAAAACTATCACAGTGCTTTGGATACAGCGCTAGATTTATTTTACTATCTTAAGTCCTCAGTTATGAAAGAATTTCTCATTACAGACACAAAAAATAGAATATTGTATTTTTTCTAGTATGCATATATTAGCATCTGTAATATGAACCCCAAGTAAACATGCAATCCTTTGAAACTCAAGATATGACTAGGTTTTCTAGTAACCAAAAGATAGAATTTTGAATCTTTTAATGAAAAGTTGGTTCAACTTTTCACACCCCTTTTGCTTTACACTAAGTAAAATGAATTCAGAAACACTGAGAACACCGATTTTCAGCTCGGTCAGCGGGCTGTGTGCATAACTATCCGTAACATTTTCCTACAGTGTCTCTAAACTTATCCTACTAACAGAGGAAAGTCCAAAAGCCATATTGAATAACTGCAGTCTTTAGAAGTTACATACTGCTGGGCACATACTGCTGGGCAATTGAATCTGGTCCTCTGTGCTCCCTGTCTACAGCGCCTTCAGAGTCTACTGAGGCACAGAGATAACCAGTGCTAAACTTAATCTCAGATTCACGGTCTTATTTATACAGCACACATTTACTGAGTGTACCTAAAAAGGGCAAACCACTAAGCAAGAAGCTAAAAGGTTAAGAGATAAATCAAGTACAGACTCAAACTTTAAAGAATTACAAATTGATAACCTATGAAAATATGCCCGTACCTATCTGCAATACACAATGGAGAATGGCAAATGCCCTAAGGGTGCAGAAGGTGCAAAAATAAGCTCAGGGGATGGCCCTTTCTAGAAGCTAGAAGTAGCTTTATCAGAGGCATAAAAACAATTGTGAGTCAAGACACAAATCTGAGTTTTCATCCACCAGGATGAGAAAATATTTCAGTCTGCCAGAACTTAGGTGGCAGAACTAAAGAACTGACTAGAAATATACAATAAGGCTAAACTACACATGGATAACAATGTATGTATTATAACACGTAAAAACACCAGACCTGAAAAGTCTGATGAACTTGGGCTGGAATTCTCGATTTAACAGTTACACCTAAACCTCTATTTCTTCTATTCTGTATAATAAATATCAGTTCTGAAAATTAAATGAGATACGTGCTTAACTCAGTGCCTGGCATGGTGCATACTCAGTGAAGGAGAACTGTAGTTACTATGTTGTTATAATCATGAATATTTCTGATATCAGGCTGAGGATTAAATATATAGCTGAGCTACTTCATTTCAACGAATATACAAAGTCATCTATGTAAGATGTACCATTATTTTATTAACCTCGAAGGAACAAGTTGCAAATTAAACTATAACACAGTGCTTCTTTATCTTTAAAATTGTCGTTCATAGTTTCAATCCTGCCATCAGATTGCAGATCTGAAGAGTGTTCCAGTGTTACCCCAGTACTGTCATTTAGGCCACCGACACCCCCCTCCAAGTTCTGATACTGGTGCTTGCTTGATCTTCCCAAAGGGTGTAAATAATAGAAATGACAGCAACATAAACCGAAAGGCAGAATTTATGCATATGCAACGACAACCACATCACAAATGTCACCTAGCTAAAACCAATATTCAAATGCCATTGATTGTAAGACACATCCCAATTTCAGAGATGTTATAAGGTGAAAAAATTGTTAACTACACCTTACCAAGAAATAAGGAAATAATGCAGCTTTTTCTTTTGTCCTCTCCCAAAGTCCCTTCTCCTGCTACCCACTCCCCTCCCATCACTTCCCATCAAGTGTCTACTGTTTTTCCATTTGTTCTCATTCCTTTGACTCTTCTTTCCTGCCTACTCTTTATTCATTCCTCATAGCTTCTCTCACATTTCTCATTGCTTACTTCTGTGCTCTCTTCTAAGTAGAAAGGAGAATGCATTTCACAGCCCACATATAGGAGACAATGCTCTACATGAAAACCTGGCTTCTGAGCAGATTCTATTTGTGCCTCCGCCATCCTCATCCTGGGCCACTGAACACATCAAAGGTATCCTAATGTACACAGTGGGAAGAGTACATATTTGCTACTATTTTTTACAGGTGATATATTTAATTCCTAAGAAAACAAGGACTTCAAGGAACTTAAATCATGGAGTTACTTTCTTTTGCAATAAAGATTTATAAGAAGCTATTTCCAATTTCTAACATTTAACATTTTTAACATTTTAACATTTACTTATAAATATTAAAGCCTTATTTCAATAGCATAATCAGGGAGAGAAGACAAATTCTGTTTTCTCTTTTATGCTCTGAGGTCATACTATACCAACCTTTTACAATTGTAAGTGTCAAACTGAGCCTTTTCCTTAAAAGCCAAGTCTTATTACAGTAATGCATAGTGGGCTAACCAAGTTAATAAAACAAAAAATACAAATTAAATTGAACAGTACCTAAAATATTCCTTTCACGCAATTTCTATTTCTAATTTTAAAACGAGAGAATGTACCAAAATCTAATATCCTATTAGGAAATACCTAGGACAACCTGTCTAAGGTGAGCCAGTTAATTCCCATCAATACTACAGTTTGAGTAAATATACTTAAAACTAGTGATCAAACACTGTGAAACTTAGATCTATTTAGGGGGATCATAAATAAAATAAAGAAAGGAATTATCCCAATATAACTGGAAAATAGGACAGAAAGAAGGTAAAAAGATTATATACTTGTGAATAAGAATGCTGAAGAAAAAATTAACTAGGCTGCAAATGGCTAGTGACAAACAAAAAGTGGAAGGCTTAGCCAGTGTACAAAACACCTTAGCCCTGCCTGGCTCTCAGTTCTTCTCCCACTACATGCACTGCACAGAAGTAAATAAAAGTCTTAAGAATGAGGCGTGGATAACAGCACATCATATCTGCACAAATTTTGGGAATGCTTATCACAAGCTCCAAATAGGAAGATGACAATCTGTAATTCACAATACAGCTGGTAATAAAGGACAAGAATAAGGAAAACCAAGTATCATTACGCCAGATGAGGCAGGAAGAGGACAATTAGTCTGTGAGGCAAAAGGGAAAGGCCCCAGATGAATGGCAAAAGGAAAGAATAAATA